TCCTCCGGTATCCTAGGATCTCTCACAGCCCCACCTGTACAGCAGGGATAGACACCAGCCATTTTCTCGGCACTCATGCGGTTTCATCATTTATAGAAATGCATGTGACGCACTGCTGGGTGCAACATCTTGAGTCTGCTCCAATGTGTCAGAGCAGACAAATGTATGTGTATAAATGCCCCAGGCCCCTAGAGGCAAGTCACAGCTGTGCAGGTTGGGGGACAGTCAGAGAAGGTTTCTAGACTAAGGGTGTGACTGTTCCAAACTCTGAGCTAACACTAACTCTGATCAACATTTGTGCAGCACACAGTGTAAGATGCACAGCCTCTGCCCCCTTTTTCAGTGTGAGCCACTTCCTAGAAGGGTTGTCTCATGAGTTTCCTCTCCCATTTGCAGAAGCACAACATCCCTGTTGTGACTGCATCACTTGTTTAAATGCATGAGAGCATTTGAACAGACTTCATGAAATTTAGTATCTTAAGGCCAGAAAACACTAACACCATATCACTAGCCATTTCTCTGAAGATGACAGGCCATTACCGGGAGAGCTGCTCTCCCAGAGATATTCTTATCAAGTCACCCATGGGAGGAGAGATACTAGGGTAATGCAGTATTACTTGGATGCTTCTAGGCTTCTTCTTGTTAACATATCATTTATTGTAGAAGGGAAGGAGAAGAGAGTACCCAAAATCCAAATCAATACTACTACTATGTGAAGCCATGAAATAAGGGAGCTATTTTACTATAGAAAAACATGATGCGAGTTTAGTGTTCCAGGCTTTTTCCCCAAAAGAATAACGATGCGGCAACACTTATGGCAGCAGCACACACAACTGAACACCAGCTGGAAGAGTCAGAGCCAATTTAACTAGGATTTATTCTAATCATCAAAAACTGACAAGGAAGCAGACAGTAAAACACATTAATGGGCACATTCAATAGGGAAAAATCCTGAAAAGAAACATATTTCCTGCAAGATTTTAAATAAATTGGCAATAAACACCCAGAATTTCCAAGTGATCTGAAATACTGTTTGTGTAATGTAAGTACTGTATGCAGGGTAAACAGTGGATATACCTTGCTGCAGACTGTCATGTCAGATACAACAAGAAAACTTTTCTAAATGCTAATCCATCCACTTACCACTATAAAAAACATTATCCGCAGGCTTTCTTATGTCAGAAAGGATCACGTTGTTCTTTCCAAAACGTTTCCTGCATAGAAAGCCAAATGGTACAGTCAGCCTGTACTCTTCAGGATAATTCATCAGTCACTGTACCGCTACACTTTTCACAGCAGAAAAATCTGCCAAGTGGTCATTTAAGTCTTATAAATTGTATCAAAGTAGTATAAATTGTATGAACATCAGTGCTTGTACTACTAGACGGTCTGTCCTCTTAAAACCCAATTTGCCGCCCAAGTTTCTCTCTTCTCAGCAAATAAGCTGAGAGTATGGTTAGCTGCAGTTAAAGTTTGCAGCAGGACACAAAACAGGAGGAGAATGAAAATAAAGCGTTAATAGGAAAGACTGGTATCATCCTTTCCACTCTCTCATAGCTTATAATATCAATAACATTCCAATACTGCTTAAAATTTATGATTTTTGATTTGGCAGACACCAGAAAGTACTTCACACCCAGCTCCCCCAAGCTTCAACTTTAGCTCAAAACTGTAACCATGGCTTCATCTGCTTTTCTATCAACAGATTAGCCCACTGAGACTATCATATCCCATGCAGGTGGAAAGCTTCTCTGCCTTAACCCTACTGAGTTTATTAGCACATAGTTGTGGTAGAAAGCAAGCTTGATAAAGCTGGGGTATATGCTGCTTTCAGCTATCTGCTGACGTGAAAATCTCTCTCCATTCCCAGAAGTGAATGACACCTTAACAGAGTTGCTATGAGATTTGGCAGGAGCACTATGGCACTCACTTGCCAAGGAAGTTTTTGTCTAGGGGGAAGTTTAGCTGTCTGCATATAACTGATGCTCTAGGAACCAGTACAAGACAAGCAACAATATGGATAAAACACAGATCACAATGCTTTAGATTTCTCATGAAGTAGTGTAATTGAAAATAAGATCCACCAGTGGGAAAATAAAATACCAGAAATTATTTTTAGACTTACTACTCTTGTTGCATCGACTGAGTTGTGTCATACTATATATGCTACGTTGGGATTTTTGCCATTTCAGTTGATAATGAAAAACTTAATATTCCTGTTAAACTGGACTGTAATAAAACCTTAATAATAGTTCACCACAGCACTTTACCCTAAGTTACTGTCACTGAAATTCTTTTCAACAGAATGTTTATTATTGCAAAGCACAAACATTTAGGTATTTAAGGAGTTGGTGGGAGGTTTACCAACCCGAAATGATTTTTTAAGAAGGGGGTAATATCAAAGAAGCTTATGAAAGTAACTGCTATCAAAAAACATTTGCAAACTGGACGTTCCCCTGGAGTATACATAGTTTTATAGTTAGTAGGGTCGGAAGGGACCTGAGCAGATCAAATCCAACCCCCTGCCATGGCAGGAAAGAGTACTGGGGTCAAACGACCCCAGCAAGGTTTTCATCTAGCCTCCTCTTAAAGACCCCCAAGGTAGAAGCCAGCACCACTTCGCTTAATTCTCTCAAAAAGCTTACCCAGGATTGAGGTAAGACTAACTGGCCTATAGTTCCCCGGGTCCTCCTTCCTCCCTTTTTTGAAGATGGGAACCACACTGGCCCTCTTCCAGTCCTCTGGCACCACACCAGAGCACCATGGGTGCTCGTACAGCTGTGCCAGGGGTCCCGCAATGACCTCAGCTAATTCCCTCAGTACTCGGGGGTGGAGATTGTCCGGACCAGCTGATTTAAATACATCAAGTCCCTCCAGACATTCCCTGACTTGATCCTCACTGACCTTTGGACTAGGTGCACCTCCCCTGGGGCCTGAGGGGGGCCTGGTGGGGGGCCTGATCTGGTCCCTGCTCAGGAAAATGGAGGCAAAGAAACTGTTAAATAGGTTAGCTTTGTCATCTGGTGTGACGACTAAATTTCCTAGAATCTCTTGTACTCCTGCATTCAAAACAGAAAGGAAAACTGACTACAAGCTGAAGCCTGAAGATAAGTTTAATCTCCACTCTCTCATTACATGCATTTTTTTGAGCTCACGGGGTACTTTTACATAAAATTACGCATATCTGGAGGATCAGGGGCAAAGTATAAACAAAAGTTAGGTCAACCTGTCTGTTTTCACTGAACTGAGGCATTTGGGTACCCATCTTAAGACACCCAAAATAACTAGTCACTCCCAAAAAAGAGTTTTTAATACTTTTACTAAGTTACAACATTATAACATACCTCAAAAGTTTGGCAAGTCCCACTCCAAGCTGCCCAAGACCTCCTGAAAATAGAAGAGAGACTTTAAAAACAATAACCAAAGTCACTGCTTTTTTTCCAATACCAAAATATTTAACTTTGTTCAAAACTGGAATACATTTGTACCCCACTGATAACAGAGTCAAACTGGGTGCACATCACAGACCTGAAAAATGTAATATGATATTTTAAGGGGAAAACTCCCTATTTGTACTTTTACTGGCTCTCTGAAATGAACAGATCAAAATGACCACAATATGGCATTGATCCTATCCATGTACCAACACCAATGAACTTGAGCTGAACACTGAAATTTCCCATGTATTTTAAAGAGATCTATGGGTGCTCTGTATCTCTTGGGATCAGGCCCCTATGGAAAAAAACAGCCAACTGTAGAAAAGGAGAATGAAGTAACTATATGAAGACTAACCTGTAATTAGCACCCGAGGGTGATCAGTTTCTGAAAAAGATGCTGAATGAAAGCTGGCATCGGAAGTCACCTGGCGTGGCGACACACCAATACATCTAACAGGGACAATGGAAGTCTGACATCCACAACCAGGGCTCTGCAGCACCTGGCTGATGGCTCTGCTCAAATTCCTGATGACTGTCATCTTGTTCTTTCAAATATCCTGTGAGAAGATAGAAAACATGAGTCACAAATTACTCAGCCAGGCCACCCTCAGCACCACGTTAAATGCTGTTCTGTATAACTGTCTGTGCTTCAGGAAAGTTTTGTATAATCTTAGTGCTGTCTAGACTGCTGAGCTACAGCCACATCTGCTACACAGAACATTAAACGCCATGAATAGAAGCAATGCATTCAGAAGAGTGAGCTCAAGTACCCACAAACAGTCTAGCATAGCAGACAGCGAGAACATAGCGTGGTATCGCTTCAACTTTCAACCCTAATTGCACTGGATGGGGCGACAGAAATCGCCATTTCAAGTGTAAGTGGAGGCTTAAGATCTGAATTCAAATGCTGCACTGGAAATCATCAGTCCATGAGTTAAAGTGAGGAACTATTTGAGGTCAAGTTGTAAATGTTCCTCATGGTCTATTTTTTATTACCATCGCATCAAAAGAATTCAGTTAAATCCCTGAGTACTGCAGTAAATCTCTGTGCTGAAAATTGCTGTCCCTAAACACCCGTTGCATTTACAGGATGAACAAAACCAGAAAAGAAAACCCAAAAAGAGATACATAAATGAATATATGGAGCACCTATCTACAAAGTTACTTTAATTGCTTTGCAACAAATACTGTTTTGTGGTGAAAACCGTACATGCTGCACGTAGCCCATGGGAAGACAGAGCCATTTTTGCATGCCTGTGGCTTTCTTTCTGTCCCAGTGGGAGGAGGGGAAATATGAGCCTGCATCCATTACTTTTCTAAGACTATGGTGACTGTGTAGGGTCAGTCACTAAAGCCCTTTCCCTTCTCTCTGCACATGCCCAATTCTCCCCCCAAACAGGATGATGAGTCAAAAATAAAGTAATAACTTAATCTCTCAGGCATTATTGAGTATGCCCCAGTACAAGCTCTTGCTGCTTACATGGCAGAAGGTGAAAAAAAAAAAAAAAAGAGCAGGAAATTCAAATAGCACCAACTGCCCTAAGGAGTTTCTAGCACCAACTAAGCTGGGAGATCCTGAAAAGCAAGTAACAACTAGTGATCCTTTCCACTGCATGCAATGCTGAAACAAGAGACTTTTTGATCTGTTACTATTTCCTATTTAAATGCAGACCTACCTTTCTTGCTAAACCACAAGCCTTATGATTAAACAAAAACTGCTCTGTTCTCACCAATGGTTAAGTTACTAAAGCACATTCACTAGAGGAGGGTACTGTTATCATTAAAATGGAAGGGTTACTGATGAAGAAGCTTATTTTGAGGTGCACCACTCTTTCCCTTCCACTTGCCTAGTCGCTAGTCACCAGCTTACATTAGAGGTCTCCAAGTCCCCTAAAACTGGCAAAAAGCTCTGCTGTAGGTGTCAGTTATAAATCCAGTAGAGGGATCATGCTCCTTGACTGTGGACTAGAGACATTAAAGTTTTGTCTACCCTCAGTACCCTGCCCTGAACAGAGGGAACCCCTATGCTCTAGTCTTTGCACCCCTCTCCTGGAGCTCTCAGTCAAAATCCAAGCCACCGCCATTAAATGACATTATTATGTCTGTGGAAGTACTTGTTTCGTATTCAGTGTAAAGACACACTGACCAGTGCCCTGTCTATGGGTTTCTGATGGGAAGCTTGAAGCATCTGCTTCAGGAGTTACTTTCTATGGTTGCTTAGTCTACTAAAATTGCCGTGCTGGAACAAAGTGGGTCACTGCCTGTTCATTTTTTTTTTTTCTTAATTCTCTTACAACCAAGAGACAAGCAGTTTTCTGATGGCTACTAACCCAAAAAGTTGATTAAGCTTGTATCAGATGTGATCTGGGACATGAAAAATCCTTAACTCAAAAGAGGGTAGAAGTAATAGATGACCCTATGCAAAAAAAAGCCTGTTTTACAAAGTGCACGTCTTCTTCTTCTAATCAAATGCTATACCACTCCCCCAACAAAGCACTGCCAATTACGTAACAAAGCTCCTATATAAATTAGCAGCATTACTTTAAAAAAATGGGCACAAGATGAAACCCTAATATGGAAGGGTTGTAGTGACTGTACTGCTAGAAAAAACAATTAACTTCTGCTGTGTTCTAGTCTCTCTCATTATTTTAACTAATTAAAATAAATGAAACCCCTGAAAATTTACTCTAATATAACCAACCTTCTTTGGTCTTATCTTTATTCACTCTCTCCCCTGCCCCTCTAACATTCCCTTCTAGTTCTGAAATGCAAAAATTGGTTTCCATCCATATTCTCTGGCCAATTTTTAATCAAACCATTTTGTTTGTTTGTTTGTGAAAGGAAAATAAAAGGAATAATAATAAAACTCCCTTTACTTTCCTAATCAAATAAAGCCAGGGTTCCTTCCCCAAATATGTTCATTAGTTTTTAACAAATGCATAGGCAAAGCATGTTCAGATAAAGATGATGCAACACTTCTACGAATGTTATCACATCAGCACTTACCTCTCCCTCTGCTTCCACTAGTGACTTAGCAAAACCAGCGAGGGAGGGATGGGGATTTATAGGACATGGCCTTTCAGCTAGACGAATCAAAATGCTGCTGGGAGTAGGAGTTGGCTCTGATGTAAACACAAAGGGGGTGTGTGATCAGCGGCAGCCAGGGACATCACAGCGCCGCGTTTATTTTAAAATCTCTTTGCTACATGATAGGTAAAGAATTCTGTAGACCTGTTACAAGATCTCTTACCAGAGGGGTATATACAACATAAATACTTCCAAAGTTAAAAAAAACAAACAAAAAACACCCAAAAAGCAGGTTTTAAAATAATTGAGAACAGTGCAGAGTGTTAATAAAAAGCAAATATCCACGTTAAAATGTAAAGCAGAAATTCAGGACTGGACAGCAAAAAAATTCTGGGGTCTGTAATTTCTTTCTCTCAGCAATAGCGTTACGTAAAAGCACAACTAACAGGCATTTCACAAATCAGATTAAATGTCAGCTACTAACTTTTTCCGTGGATCCAGTCACGAACTGTGTGCTGATAGGGCAATCTGAGCACCTTGTGGCTTGCATGCAAGATAAAAATATGTTTAAGTAAACAGACTGCTTTCCTCAGTCTCAGTTTGAACAGTAACAGATTGTTAGAGACCTTTAAAAGGTAACATAAAGGGGCCTTAAGAGTCTGATTTGTAGCAAATAAGAGATTAAAGCTATAACAAAGAGTTCAACAACCAGGAAAGGAATTCTCTTCTGTAGTTATTTTCTGCATAGCAGGTGGTTGGCCTCGGAAAACCCCTGTATAAATTGCCCAAGGCTAAGTTGGATGTATTTGTACTAGATTTATGTTTGACAGAAAATTAAGATTTCAAGGGAATAGGATAAAGCTTTCATCTGAACACTAATGCCAATAAAAACACCAGCTGCACTCCCGTACAGGATCTCTAGACCTCATACTGTTCATTTCATCAAGAATACAAAGTGCAGCAGGAGAAGTGGAATGGCAGAAACTCATCATAACTTGTGTTCTTACCATTTAAATATATTAATATGCTGGCCAGGCACTAGAAAGGAACACAACTGTACAGCACTAGCACACATTAAGATTATCTTTACAGCTATAAGGGAAAAGATATTTCACTTTTTTTAAATGAAAACTGAAATTATGCAAAATGGATGTCCTCCTATTTTTCTTGATGAGTAAAAAACAGATCACTCTTTTTCAGTGGTTAGTATTTTTGAAGCCTTGAGTTTCAGCATTATGCTTGTTTTTCCCTAGAAAAGTCTAGCCTAGTTGGAGTTTCTGGAGCAGGAGGAGGGAGACAACTCTGTATAAGAGGGTGCAAGGACCTGGCCCTCATATCTGCTTTGGGTGACACAGAAATTAGCTTTGAAGGGTTGTTCTGTTCTTTAGGATAACAATGTTATCACTTCAATATGACCAGCAGTTATCACTCAAACAGAGCTCCAAACTGGCATCAAATGGCAGGACCCATAGGATCAAGCTAGCAGAACATATTCCAGGCTCGGATGCAATGGTACCTAACATTATGCACCAAATTGTCAATCACATTATGCCAACATGGTCACAGGGTTACAAGCAGTATTTTCGGGAGCTTCTCCAGCCTAAACTGAAAAATGTGCAGTTACAACAGGACAAAGAGTAAAAAGCGCTCAAGTCCCTCCTTGAAGATCGCTGTAGCGTGGACAAACCTCTACTGGGAGCTAGGCAAGGCTGCCTTCTCCTGCTTTGCAGTTTTTGGCTCGAGGGCGTTGCACAGGGCTGCAATGCACACTCTGTATCTGCAGCTAGCACACGAGCCAGAGGGGACAGTTGCCAACTGCTGCAAGGTGGAGCAGACCTGTCAAGCATATTGCCCACCCCTACAGGGTGCCACAGGCGACCGGGCATGCACACAATGCTCACATCCTCCCCGTGCCACAGAGAAACGAGTAAGGTTCAGGGGAACTATATTTTAAAGCAAAAAGATCAGATGATGCACAAGTTACCAATTATTAAGAGCATGGGCTTCTGGAGGAATATCACGGGGAGGCTCCACAGGAGCCTTCTTGGATTGTATGGCCTAGCCCCGGCTCTCTTGTAGGTGCCCAGTTCTCCACCCATTCAGGGGTTGATATAGGAGGCTCCTATCCCTGCTTTGGGAAGATCCGTGAGTTGGGTAGATTGTAATTTGCCCATTCCATGAACAGAGACTTGCATGTCTTCCACCCCTGATACAAGGGAGGCAGGAAGAAAAGGGGGGCCAGGAAACTGAAGGCCAATTAAAAAAAAGTCTAATGTTAGTCACAGAAGGACGGGAGAAAGCTGTAGCCATTTGTCATTGTTTTGGTAACAAACCCAAATTCACTTAAGATTTTCTTTGAAACTTGCATTGCCTTTGCAGGAATAAGAAAAATGAAAATAATTTGTTAAGTCATAATGACAGGCCTCAGCAGACACTCGATTTACAAGAAACAGGCACTTCACAGTTCACTTCCTTCCTACGGTGCCTTCCCACCCTGCCCAGTTTGCCAAGTACTACTTTTACACAACTGCCATTTACTACGACAGACCACAGACCCAGCTTGCCCAGTCTCCTGCGTTACACAGACCCTCGTTCCTGTCCCGCATATTGCGCTGTCATCCCAAGGAATCAACCGATGCAGACCCGGCAGCCCCCTCTATTAGGGGAAGCACACTACTCCTGTGCAAGCACGTGCCCACGATCTTATAGTTTCATAGTTTCTAGGGTCGGAAGGAACCTGAGCAGATTATCTAGTCCGACCCCCTGCCATGGCAGGAAGAGCACTGGGGTCAAACGACCCCAGTAAGGTGGTCATCCAACCTCCTCTTAAAAACCCCCAGGGTGGGAGCCTGCACCACCTCGCTTGGAAGCTGGTTCCAGACCCTAGCCACCCTGACCGTGAAGTAGCGCCTCCTGATGTCCAACTTAAACCTTCCCTCTGCCAGCTTGTGGCC